AAAAAATAAATATATTTAGGCGGTTCTTTTGTTTTACAGAGAAATTTTCTGAGCCATTCTCTTAAATTATCTGTGTTGTAATCTTCTGAGGTAGATTGAACATACGTAATAAGATACTGAGTTGCAGAGATTAAGAAACTTGGCAAAGGTCACAAATAAGTTCGTGGCAGACACCAATGGTGTATGAATTTATTTCATGTTATATTTCGTGGGAGCCAGAATATGGAAACTTTTTGTTGTTAAAATCTACATAGTTAACTACATATAAGGACTCCTGTTGTAGGATCAGCACTAGACTGCGAATTACAAGTTTGGCAATTCAAACCCACCCTTGCTGCTTCTCTGAAACCCTATACAGGGCCACTATAAGTCAGAAGTGACTCATTGGCACTTACCAACAATAGCAACATATAGATATATAACATTTTTACATGTAGGAGTTTACTTAATATTTTTGTTTTACTTGTAGCACCCAGAGGCTTCCATTCAGGCTGTTTTTTCAGATGCTCAAATGCATATTTGGGCATTAGAAGGTAAGCAATCTCATTGAACGAACCGACTCCATGGTACTTAACAACAACAACAATATCATTGAACTGTAAGTGTGATTTTAATTACTCATTAAACATTGAAGTAAATTTGAAAGAGCAGTTCTGGACTTGGATATCTCAATCCAGATTTTCAGATGCACTTTTATGTCTTTGTTTTTTATCAGATTTCTTTTTTTTTTGTATTTAGTCTGTGCTTTACTTTGGATAGAAATTTCTATTGTACATAAGCCTGAGATTCTTCTGTATCTTTCTCTATTTTAAAAGGAGGCAATGAATAGATTGTTTTTAACTGCCAATTTTTGCTAAACACGAGAACTTAGTTGTTTTAGAACTGTGGGTTCTTTTCACTTTATAGACACTGCCTTCTCAGTAATTAAATGATTCTTCCTCAGAAAAGCCTTTCCAGATTATCCTGTGAGAGCATTCTCCACATCACCTTCTCTGCTCTTCCCTACATGCTCTACTTCGTTTCTTGACACTCATCATTATCCAACACAATACATTTTATGTATGGTAAAATATTCTCTACTAGAAAGCAGAGCAGAGACCTTGTCATTGTATTCGTGACTCACACAGTAGAGTACCTTTTCAGTGCCTAGTCAGATGTTTAGGGAGTCTTGGTGGCACAGTGGATAAGTGCTCAGCTATTAACTGACTGATAGGTCTACTGCTCAAACCCACCAGCTGCTCTGAGAGGGAAAGATGTGGCAATCGGCTTCCACAAAAATTACAGCGTTAGACAACTTATGGGGGGCAGCTCTGCTATGTCCTGTGGGGTGGTATGAGTTGGAATCGACTCAGTGTCATTGGTTTTGGGTTTTATTCAGGTTATTTATCCATTTTCCTATTCCATAGTCTCCCCCCTCTTTTTTTTTTTTGGTAGACATTTTGTATCTGTTCAGAGCATTAATCCTTGATTAAATAGATTTGCTTATTATGATTCGTGATTAACTTGTATGTTTGTTTTCTTTCCTCTTAAGGTCTGTCTCACTTAGTAGCAGCATCATTTACAGAAGATAGATTTGGAGTTGTCCAGACCACACTACCAGCTATTCTTACTACTTTGCTGACATTGCAAGAGGTGAGCAACATATAGATTAGGTGGGGGTAGAGGTTTGCCCCTGTTTTTTAAGTTTGTTTCTTATATATTACATTTATTAATAAGAAAACATGTTGGGGATTATCAAAAATACTATTCTTACCCTCAGAAAATTACAATCTCAAGGAGAAACATTAGGAAAACTTTTATTCTTGCTACTTACAACTTATACAGAAATGAAAAGGAAAATATACTTAATCTGTAGGATACACTTCTGGTAGTCAACAGATTATTTTGGCTATTGGAATTCTGTTCAGTCAATGTAAATTTATATCCTTACATAATTTGTAGTTACTGAATGTGGCGGGTAGTTACATATCTCATGTTCTGTAGATAATGAGTACTTGACCAGCCACCCAGGAAGATACAGCTAAGGCCAGTGGGTCCCCACCATCAGGCTAGGTGTCTAGTTTTAACTAACACTAACAAGTCTATTTGGGGAGCGCAATGACTCTGTAGGATAAACACTTGACTGCAAATAAGGTTGTAGTTCAAACCCACCAGCTGCTTGCTCCATGGGAGAAAGATGATGCTTTTTGCTCACACAAATTCTCGGAAACCTTATACAGGGTCGTTATGAGTCAGAACTCACTCGACAGCACAAACAATAGCAGCAGGTGTATTTATTTCTAGACTCACAGAAAGGTAGAAAAGTCAGAGATGCTTTCTACTTTCCAATAGGCTTCTGTTCTTACCTTCTTATAAGTGATGTTTGTTTGTTTTAAATTTTTATTGTGAACTGAGTGATCGTTTATATGGGAGAACATTGGCTTTACACCATTGTTTCATTGCTATGATTCCAATATCTTCTGTGCATCATCATTAAACAGTATTTGCTGCCATTCCTTCTATTTTTTTGGGGGGCAGGGATGGAGGGAGGAGGGGAAGTACACAAAAACACTGAGGAGTATATAATAATTTAAACAACCAAAGGGTACATTTTGCAAGCCTGCCTCTTGGTCTCCAGCACTCATTCCCTCTCTTCCCATGAGTTTAGAGTCCTCAGCTATTCTTAATTCTTAATGTCTTCATCTCTGCCTCCATTTCTGGTATTGCTACCTCTCTGGATAGGTTCTCACATTCTGCTCATGCTCTTCTCCCTTGATAGTCCTAGGGTCCTCTGTTTCTGGACTGTAGGATTAACTACTCCCTCTGTTTTTGTTACGTAACTTCTACCTTTACAGTTGTGACAGTTGCAGTTTGTCATGATAATAGTTACTCACTATTGAATCATAAGAATCTTATCCCTATCTCTTTTCACCAGACCCATCTAGACAAGATAAGAACTCTTCAGTGGGGATTCTACCTTCCCCTATAAACTCTGAAAGTAAACTCTCTCTTCAAAACTTTTATGCCAGTCACTTCATGCCTTTATCATCCCTGGAGGTGATGTTTTACAACACTTCAAAATATTAGTTTATGTCAGATGAGAGGTGTAAACCCTCAGTGCTGGGGTCATCAGAGCACTCAACAGCTTTTCTGAAGGCGGTGATACAGAACCAGACCTGGACGGTAGCAATTGGTGCATATTTTGGCCTTGGAAAGTAAGTTAATGTATGAAGGAAAATATGCTTCATTTTCTTCACACAGTTCCGTTCATGTTAACTCCTTTTGTTTATTTATTTACTTTGAGTTCTCTTTGTTCCTACTGTCTCATTTTTGTTACCTGAGACATGTATCCACATGTAGCTGTTGTTAGTTGCTGTTAAATGGATTTGGTCTTATTGTAAAAATTAGAAATGTTCCATAGGCTTTTCAAGGTTGTAACCTTTCAGAAGCAGGTGGCAAGGCCTATCTTTGCAGGTGCCATTGGGTGGGTTTGAACCACCTTTTGGCAAGTAGTTCAGCACTCAACTAATATTTGTACCACCCAGGGACTCCTATCTTCACATAGATCATGTTATTTTTTGTACTCTCCTCCCAGGTAACTTTCTTTAAATATATAATTTCCTAGTATTTTCCCACAGCTTCTCAGCTTTGGCATGAACTACATAGTCGGGTAACCATGATTTGGTGGTATTGTTGGTGTTTGTAATATAGCTTCTCACTTTGGATATAGATATAAAATAATAGTAACGAAAATGACTCCTCATCTTTGTACAAGGCTGTACAGTCTTCAGAGTGGTGTTTTCCATTATTTTATTAAACCCTCATAATTATCTTGCAAAGTAAGCAAGATGGAGATATATTAGCTCTATTTTAAAGGGGAGGCAGGTTTAGAAGTCAAAGCAGTGACCTACCTCGGGTTTCACACGGAAGTCATCTAGGAGTCAGGGCTACAACTTGAATCTAGTCTGACTGCAGGCCCTTGGCTGTGTAGTTGTTAAGTGTCATCGAGTCTGTTCCGACCCATAACTACCCTGCATAGGGTTTCTAGGTGTCAAGAAAAGCTGCAGATCTATGTTCTGTATTTTTCTGAACTTTTCATCATCTCGTTCTATTGGTTTTACTTTTTTATCCCTTTTTATGTTTATTCCTAGTACCCATGGAACCATGATTTTCCAACTCATTGGACTGTGATCTACAGTTGCAAATATATGTTAAGTTAGATTAAGACTGTTTGTCTATGTGAGAGTGTGTATCTATACATTAAAGAAGCAAAAGCGTAGAACAGTGTTTACTTTTCTTATGTGCATTGCATTCTATTGTTTTTCACTGTTTTATTTAGAAGTAATGCTGATTGAAAGTCTCTAAATTGATTTCACAAAAATCATAACTGCCATAAAAGTATTCTGGGTATCAGAATTACTGTGTTCTCACTTTCCTCACCATCAGAATTTCTAGTTTTTACTATTCTACTATAAGGAGCCCTGGTAGTATAGTAGTTCAAATCCACCAGCCTGACTGTAGGAGAAAGATGAGGCTTTCTGTTCCCATAATGATTTACTGCCTCAGAACCCTACACAGGGTCACTGTGAGTTGGAACCAACTTGATGACAAAGAGCAGTAGCAGCAGTATACCATGGTGTTATTGTTGTTATTAAATGCCGTGGAGTCAGTTCCAACTCACAGCGACCCTGTGTAGGGTTTCTGAGGAGCAGCTGGTGGTTCAAACCGACCTTGCGATCCAGTGCTTACCTTACCAGCACCACACCATAATTGCTTAAAACTGAGTATTAGAAGGAATACAAACTGTTTATTTGTTAATAGACACTGTTGGTAGGAAAATAATCACAGTTAGCCAAAAGGTGTGGCCCTTTATATTTTGAAACAGGGGAGTTGGAATGGAGGGCCAAGATAGAGACAAGGGTTTGGAAGTGGGGAGATGGAGAGAGGTAAAAAGAGTAATGAACAGGGCCAGTGACCTGTGGCATCTGTTCTCCCCTAAGACACATTGGTCATATCTTGCAGTCTTCAGATTTTGCAAACTGCCTCATGGTCTGTTTCCACTCCATATCCTAAGATTGATTATAATGACTGATTCAGTGTCCACATGGATCATCTTTCCCACACTCTGCTTCACAGTTCTTTGACTTCCTCCATTTCACTACCTGCTGCTGAACAGTACTTTGATTTCCTCGACTTCACTGCTTATGACTCTTCAGTCTCAAACCTCACCCCCAGCCCTCTAGTTTATTGTCACTTGAGTTGCTGTACTTACAAAGCTTGAAATTGCAGCATTCCATCCTTGAAGTCAGAATCCTTAACCTTTTTTGTGCTCAGGATCCCTTTGGTGGTTTGGTGAAACCCTTGAACTCTCAGGATAATGTTCTCTCAGGGTAAATGCATAAAATAAAGTGTTTAGGATTAGACTTTGTTGTTAGGTGCCATCAGGTTGGCTCCAACTTACAGTGACCCTACACTCAACAGAATTCACTGCCTGGTCCTGCTGCGCCATTCTCACAACCATTGTTCTTTACTGAAATATTAAATTTGTTATATACTAATATGAGCTCCTTAATTAATATATTAAATTAAAAGATCCAGCAGTGAGTCTCTTAATGATCATCATTTTGAAGTAGAGATTGACATGAATGGTATTTCAAGGTGTCTGTAACAATAGTAATATGATAGGAAAATGTTGATGATTTCTGTTGATAGTCATAGGAACTGATCTTTGTAAATTACTACTACTGTTCATAACTGAAAGAAAATGCTAAATTTTAGTCAGAGGTTATTGAAGATAAACATTTTATTTTTATCCCAAAGTTCATGAGCCTCAGTATAAGAACATTTGTTCTGAGCACAATTATCTTGGTTCTGTGCACTTTCATTGAATTGACCATTATTTTTGGTTCCTTTCCCCCATCTTCTTTCTCTTTCAGCTCCTTCCTGGTTATATGTGTCTCTTCCCATACAGCTTAGACCTTATAGTTTGTCACTTCAACCACATTCTTAAAAACTCCTTTTACCCCTTTGTATCCATGTCCTCTACCTGTACCCAGTTGGTAAAAGCTCAAAGTATTAATCCATAACCACCACCTACCCAGTCTTTCTCCTCTCCCTCTGGCCACAGCCATACTTCAGGCCCTTAGCATTCCTGTCATGGATTATTCCAGTGGCCTTTTGCTTCTAGTAACTCAACATGGATGTAACATGACTCCAACTACTCTGCTATTCTTCCTATTAGCCCTGTGCTATATGAACTATCATGAACTATTCATTTCCCTCCACATATTTACTGTTTTTAATCTTCTCTAATTGTATACATGATGCCCAGAACATATATATATATATTTTTTGTTGTTGTTGTTGTTGTTGTAGCTACTTGATAACTGCCATTTCAACACTGTATTTTGACTATCCATTTACTCCTGTTGTCTCCTTTATTTTTGTCAGAGTAAGGCAGAGACTTAGCACATCTCTATATTCCTAGCATCTAATAATGGCACCTGACAAATGATCAAAAAGCCAAACTCATTGCCATTGAGTTGATTGTGACTCTTAGCGACCCTGTAGGGGTTCCGAAGTGTTTGTTAGATAGCTGTTGGATAGCTTCATGACTCAGCTGACGAAGAAGGCTTCTCTTCTAGGGCCTGAAC